CCCACCTTCTGATCAGGCGAACCGTCGTAATCGTCTGCTTCAGGTTTCAAGCGGCGCTTGAGTATCTCGGCAACGAGCGCTGAAATTATGGTGATATTATCTCATATTATAGTATGTTCGCTTTCAAGGAAGCTAAGACCGTCCGAAGAAGGGGTACTGTCTAAAGAAAAGGTAAGGTAAAATATCCTGTACGCTGCGGTCGTAAGTGTGAAACTTGAATTTAACAGTGCTGGAAGAAAGTCGTACAGTGGTACTAATTCGGGGAGGGGAGTATTAATGATGTAGCTATTTCATCCATCTCCACGAAGCGCATCCATGTACCGACTATGGGGAGGGCGTGGCTGAGTACTTCATTGATGTACGATGCATTTCTCGTTGGTACTTCCGCTTGGGACAACTGTTAGGTGGTTTTGTGCTTGATAAAAACATGAATACAATTGTCAATTGACGACATTGTTCACTGAAAATGGATTCGCCATCTCTTCTAAATGAAATATGCGGCCACGCCCTCCCAGACATCGGGTGTGGGGCCACAGTTCGTAATTCGCTATTGTTTCGATTTTATGAATTATAGAATGTTTTACGTACCAAAATGTATTCAAACTAACACCTAGAGCCTGAAATTGTGCATGTGAGAAAAATGCCGCAGGCCTCACCTTTTCCACGTAGGCCCGTCTTGGCAAACGGATCCTCTCTGTACATTAACCAATATAATATCATGCCTAAACTATATATATCGCCTTGAGGTGATCCACGTGGATAGTTGTCACCATTTCCAGTTTCCTTCAGCAGCTCTGGGGCGAACATCGGGAAATCTAAACCATTGGTGAACAGTTCTAGATAAAAGCACTAAAAACATACTGACTTGTGGGAAAATATGGAGCATTTTTTCGGTGAACGATAACTGGCTCAAGCGGGAACTTGTGTAAGAATAAAACAATAATCGAAGCTTTTACGAAAAATACTTGGGGTCCTCGCGCTCATGCAAATCTAGGCGTCCTTCCTTGTTCAAGTAGTCTGACCCTCGACCTCTAGATTATACCACTTTCGCGACTCCACTTAAAGACACATAGTACGCTCACACACATTGAGGGTGTATGAGACTATCAGCCCCCCAGCTGTCGATGTGTCGTGGTCCCCCGCCCAAACATGCCCAGGAATGGAGATACAGGACCGTGAAACACGCTAATTCCTCCATGCTCCGCCTTACACCTTTTTGCGGCGCAGATTCCCGTCCTTCATAACATCCGTTGCAAGCGCGCGTGTCGCGTGCGGCTCCTTGGCACTTTGCCAAGTCCTTTAATTGCGCTCTCAAATACAAGTAAAACGCAATTTCCTGATGCGGATAACATTGGAGGTGCTGCAAAATAAGAACAGAAGATGATGACGAGGGTCAGAACTTAAAAGCAACTGTGCCACTTCTGCAACATCCCTCGGAGGCCGCGTATTTCCACGAAACATGAAAATAAAACGGCATACTCGTTAGTTTGATACAAGCAAAACGCAATTTCCTGATGCGAATAAAATTTTAGGTGTTGCTCATGCTTCAAAATCCATGTACAAGGAGATGAAGATGACACAGGCTAGAAATGAAGCACAACGATGTAAATGTAAACAAAACAAAAATGAAAAAATCAAGGAAAGGCAAATTAGTTGAAATCGCCTGTAAATTTCTACGATCCGGCGCGAATCCGGCGCCAAAGCCATAGAAATACTTAGAATAAACGAGTGGGACGCTTGGATTGTTTTTATTCTCATGTTTTCTGGGAATGCGCGGCCTCTGATGGATTCTGCGGATGCAGCCGAGTTGCTCTGCGTTCCGCCTTGTCATCATCTTCTGTTCTTTTTGTAGCACCTCCAATGTTATCCGCATCAAGAAATTGCGTTTTACTCGTATTTGAGAGCGCAATTAAAGGACTTGGCAAAGTGCCAAGGAGCCGCACGCGACACGCGCGCTTGCAACGGATGTTATGAAGGACGGGAATCTGCGCCGCAAAAGGTGTAAGGCGGAGCATGGAGGAACTAGCGTGTTTCACGGCCCTGTACTCTCCATTCCTGCATCTTTGGGACGGGTTAGGGGGCGCCACGGACACATCGAACAGCTGGGGAGGTGATACTCCATACATCCTCAAATGTGTTTGATACGTTACCATCGTGTCCTTTGAGTAATAGAAGGCCCTGAGCTTATGTAGGGGCCGGCCTCTGACCCCCTTCCACCACTACGTTGCTCCCGCTACCAAAACTCAAAGGGTTTCTGTGTAGAGTTAGTGAAATTGGGCGAATCTGTTCGTGCGAAATCTCCATAATTTGGACGCACTGACAAAAAGGTGGTGCTGTACGTGTTGTTCCACCATGTCACTGATGGGGAGAATGGCGCTTCGTAGGACGCAGCAAATCGCCTACGCTCTAAATCTGTCTATCCGGTCGATAGGTATCTAATGCTTCTGCAGGTACACGAATATGCTTGCGCTTCACTGTTCGCCATTTCCCCTAGTTAGTTGGGTCCCACACTGTTTCTTATCAGCATCGTGATAGAAATGGTGGTACGAGAAGACCCATCCCTGGCAACAACTACTACTTTCTCCTACAAGCTCCGGCTTCCCTCAGCAGTCTTCTCCGAAATTTCCCATATTTATCCGTTTCTTGTAACAGCCAGAAAAACTTTACGTCGAGTGGAAGGGGGGGGGGGTATATAGTACAATAAAGCGGAAATTCGCGAAAAAGTCAAAACACATGTTTTTGCCCAACGCGGCGTATTTCCTTCTCAAAAACGCGACCATACCATCACGGACTCCCCCCCCTCTCTCCCAACAACGACCAAATACGACTCCTCTCCCCAGGCAAAAGGTACGACTCCAACTATATGTTTCACACAACGATGCTGTAACCTGTTTATAATGCCCTAAAGGGTATAAAAGAGCCCATTCCCCTCAATGCTCGTATACCCCTTGTCCAATGACTGACTTGCTGACAATATTGTAAGCCATTGCACTTGCTGATAATGTTGTAACTTACAATCTGGATTGAGGTGATATTCTGGCAAGCACTGCAACACCTTGTCAGTCACGAGTTCATGTAGCATACTGGCCACTCCAAAATGTGTTAGCTTCAGTACCCAGTTAGAATCTACAAGGCAGTTTTTCGTCAACAACAGACCGTGATAGCGTATTGGCGACTTGTGGATATACTGTAGACCCTGAAATACCGTACTGGTCCGTGTACAAAAGTTGGTTTCCTTGATTTCAATGGTGGCTTTGGATCAGCGTTCAAGTGACACAAGGTAATAGAATCACTCAAAGCTCAGCATATTTTATGATCGCGGGTTGTGATCCATACATCCAGCTGATGTCATCGCAGTGCGAAGGGGTGGTGTCAGGAGGCGTGAGTGAGGCAGTCTGCGTGGTTTTCTATCACTGGTTGTTTCCTAGCTGAAAGCGGATACTATTGGTAGGAAGTACAGTCGCGAATGGGCTCATTCCACGCCTATTGACACCACCTTGCGGATTGCGACGACATCAGCTGTATGTAACTTGGGCGTGGAATTGAGGAGGGTTTATCTTCGACAGTAGAACGTTCGGAACAGCGTTGTGCAGGGACTTTCTACCACGAAAACCCTTATTAGGTACGCCTAAATATTCCTCTAGCAAATGTTGCCACTGTAGTCCGGAATTCCTAGAGGGCAGAGTTAAACTAGCAATCGGACTACACTTGCGTTCATGCACAACGGGCTCAGTTCTTACTATTCAGCACTGAACTCTCGGTCTCAAACTTCAAGGGAAACCACTGGCTGAAAAGCTCGAAAGCGGAACAAAGTTCTCACCTTGAGTATATCCCTCAAGAACGCCGACCTGAATAAATCATCGATAGGAAAGTCTGGATCCTTTATAAAGTCCTGAAATGAATGAATGTT